TGGACATTTTTGGTAATATCTATAAAGCATTTTACTAATCAGAGTTCTGCTTTTGAGTCTTTCCCATTTGATCATAGTGCGGGAAGACTTTAGCTGCAATGCTGGCCCAGCTCTCCATCTTCCTGGCATTATTTTTGTAAAAAGGACCCCTAAGATCATATAACACAGGATGCTCCTGAACATACCCAATAAATATACAGTATCTACGTCCATGAGCAATGATATGACTGGCACTGCACTGCACAGCACTGTACAGGATACTGTAAAAATAACCACTTTACCTAACCAGCAAGTGACATAGGTAGTATCAATCATCAGAGGAGCCAAATACCTTTTGATGGTTACATGTGTTTGAGCGTATTCATGTGTGGAAAAAAAGCATGCTGTTGTACTTTATTAAAAGCGGAACACAATTGTGTGAACTGGCCTCTATTAAAACCATTGGAATTACCGTGTATGTGTATTTGGCACATTTAAAAAATGCACCTCAGTCCATATATGATGCTGCACTCATGACAGCGCAAGGCTTTCAAATGATAGGTAGGTGCTTGAATTAATAGGATCGGATGTTGCCACACCAAAACCAGATCAATGTATATAAAGTAACCAGCACTCCATGTAATTGCATCACACAAATGTATTATGAAGAACACTGTCACAGACATACAGTATACAGGTGAAACTCGAATAATTAGAATATCGTGCAAAGTTCATTTATTTCACTAATGCAACTTAAAAGGTGAAACTAATATATGAGATAGACTTATTACATGCAAAGCAAGATAGTTCAAGCCGTGATTTGTCATCATTGTGATGATTATGGCTTACAGCTCATGAAAACCCCAAGGACCCCAAATCCACAACCTCAAAAAAGTAGATTATTACATGCATCTATAAAACAAGGATTGTACATAGAACAATATCGGACCTCTGAAAAGTACAAGCATGCATATCTACTCAGTACTTGATTTGGGCCCCTTTTGCAGCACTTACTGCAATTACTTTTGCACGATATTCTAATTATTCGAGTTTCACCTGTATACTGACGTTTCAGAGCCGCCCAGGGTCACTTTTTCAAGGCAACATAAAGTGACGTCACTGATGAATTCATAAAGTTGTGTTCCAGCAAAGTAGGAGTTTTTGTACTCACCATAAACTCCTTTCTTAGTGTCCATAGAGCGACACAGAAAGTCTATAACCTTCAGGTTATACTGCTGTCTACGGGAAGATTGGACACTGGCAAACAAAAAAAACCTGTAGGCGAGCCTAGCATAACCCATCATTATACCTGTTTGTCACAACTTCGTAGCAAAGCAGTACCCATAGCATGATCATAAACACAGAGTGATGGAATCTATGTCCCTCACTGGACTCCAAGGAATTTTATGGTGAGTACAAAAACCCTTTCTTATTTCCATCCATTGAGGGACACAGGAGGACTTAGCCTTCAGGACACCCAAAAGCACTCCAACTGAGGGGTGGGCAACACAGCGAACAACAGAGAACTAGGGACTGCCTGCAGCCTGGTAGAACTTAGAGAATGTGTAAACAGAGAACCAGGTGGCAGTCTTGCAAATCTAGGAAACAGTTGCTTGATGCTGAAAAGCCTAAGAAGCACACACAGATCTAGTAGAGTGCACCTTGACAGGAATGGGTGGAACCCAATCCTTGAGACCATAAGCTTGGATGATGGTCTGCCTGAGCCAACTAGAGATGGTGCAACAAGAATCCAGTGCACCATTATGGGGTCCATCTGGGATTGCAAAAAGTGTGTCAGTCTTCCTGAAAGAAGCAGAGGCTAAGAGGGAGTCTCACAGACAAAACCACAGACAATAGAGGGAAATGTCCTTTTGATAAACTAGACAGACAAACAGAAGAACAATGTTTTGGTTGAGATGAAAGGCAGAAATTGCCTTAGGCAAGAAAGAAGTCCCCATGCAGAACCAAAAAGTGGTCAATGTCTCTAACAGCTTTAAACTGCGGTTTCTTTAGCGCCGAGAGAACCAAATTCAGATCCCAGAGTCACAGGAAAATGCATGTGTGGAGCTACATGGGAGACCCCCTGTACAAAGGCCTTAATCAAAGCGTGAAAGCCCAATGGTCTCTTAAACCTAATAAAAAGGGTAGAAACCTTTCCCACGATAGTACTGAGAGCCATAGAAGAATGTCACCAACACACCGTAAGTTGAAAAAATCGAAATGTTCATTTATTGCCAATAGCTGTATCTCATTGGCAAGCGATTTCGGGGCCACGCAGGGTCCCCTTCATCAGGCTTAGAGATGCATCAACGCAGAGAGGACCTTGACATTAACAAACCTGTAGCAATACACTTTGCAAACATAAAACATCAAGTGCATGAGCTTAAGGGCAGGGTTATTGAGCAGGTACCCACAATTCCAAGGGGTGGGGACAGATCCAAACAACTGTTACAAAGAGAGTCGTTCTGGATATACACTGTTGACTGTGTCCAACCTAGGGGCTTAAATGCCAACCTATCTTTAACCTGCTTTCTTGAAAATAGATAGCCATTTACATGCTGCATTTATCATCCACGTTCATGGCTACTTTTAATCATTAGTGAGATGGTTCACCAGTGGGCCATATAACATAGTGACAGCTTTGGGTTTCACATATCTAATTTTACTTTCCCATCCCCTGATCCCTCTTTTCTTTCCCTCCGTGTTTATACATCGGCTTCATATAACCCTTATTTTTCTCACTTGCCTTCCTTGCTCATCGCTCCTTGCCCAACTACCAGCAGAGCACCTAGTGTCTGCCCCAAGGGGACAAACAATTGGTACCTTAAAGGTCCAGCATTACTTCAGTGCACATACAATGATTTTTTCAATGGTTAGCCTAGGTTCATTACGATATACTCAACTGTCAGTATGAAATACCAGAGGTACAATAATGTAATTACTATCCGTGTCCACACATGTGCTATGTATGGACAGCATAGGTTTTATTACAGTCTATCATTTCCGTTATTTTACACCTTATTTGCGTCCCTTTGCTTCAAATGAGTGTTCCATATGTATTTCCTTGCCTTATGTGATGTCAAGCATACAGTACCTATATGTTTCTATTTTGCTCCGTTGTTCAGGGCAGTCTTTGATCATTGTATATTTGCTTTAACATGCTTCCTTAAGTACAGCACCAAAATTGTATGCTAATCTTCAATTGATTTCATGTATTGCCAATCTGTATTCATATGAAATCATTCGGGCTTCGTACAGACCGCTTGAGCCTTTACTACATACCAGATCTCCAGTCCGTACTGCGCACGTTCGAATCGGACGTGCGTTTCACAATTCAGCAGCCCTACTCGTAACCATTTGCAGGAAGTGCCCGGTGTTCCACGCGGCTGAAGTAATGGTGGACGAGACAGTGCTGGCTCTCAGCGTTGTTGACATAACGAAGGGCTGCTGTGCGAGCAGCCAACGGCCGAGACAGTGGTGCACGCCCTTCTCACCTACATGCCTATCTTATGCAAGTCTTTTTGAATTGTTATGGCGGGAATGCAATTAAAGGGGTGGGAGGTTCTCCTTTTTACTGCACTTGGTTTATGTCTATACAAGTGGTGTGGTTTGTGTTATACTCTGTCATTCTGGGCCTGATGAAGGGGACCCTGTGAGGCCCCAAAAGCGCTTGCATTGTATGACAAGTTTGTGTCATTAAATGGATCGCTTTCACGTTTGAATTGGTGTGCTGGTGACATTCCTGAACTTTATTTTTTATCAACTTAAGGCTTAGGGTACATGGTAAAAACCTCAGGAACTCCGGAAACCCAAACAGCAGATGAGGGTCCGATGCCTGGAGGTGACCAAAGTCACTGTAGTTGGGTAGTATGAACCGACCCAAGACCAAAAAGGTCCAAGAGGCTCTTTGCAAGTAAGAGCAGGCAAGTGCTTAGGCAATAATGCTGGGGGCTCTGGACCTAGAAAGTTCTCTGGAGCTAATCAGAAAGCATTCTATACAGAAGGTTCCTGAAGGTCACTTCCAGGCTATCTCCACAATGCCCAGTCCAGCAGGGTCTAGACTGTCCACCCCAGGTTGTGGCTAGTGTGCAGTCCCCTGCTTTCCCACAATGCAGTGCTTGGTGCCTAAGTTGCCAATCTCCAGTACTGTCACATGAGGGAGTCAAACTTACTACAGCTAATCAGACAGCCCAGTGTAAGGGAAGCATGGGGAAGTCAAGTATAGGATCTTTAAACTCGCTCCTATAAAGTGAGCTTACCATTTTGCCTGGTACGGACACAGTACAGGTTCACTTGAAATCTTTTCCACTGTAAGGTACTATGTGCTACTGACATGCCGAGTTGTGACATTTTCATCTGAAATACTGCTGTCACCAGCCCAACAAACATCTCCATACCCATTTTGGGAGACTCCACTAATAGGCATGTTATACAAAATGTATGTTCTACCCTTTAGTAGATTCTACAAAGAAATACATAGAGGACACACAACAGTAGGGATGTCCAGATACCAGTGCCGATATCGCATTTTCACGAGAACTACCAGGGTGGCAGCGGCTGCAGCTGGGACCTTGGAAAAACTGTCACATGACACTAAACAAAAATGTATCAGTACTTGTGTCTGTGAATACACAAGTACTGATACATTTATATACACACACAAAACAACAAATTCCATGAGCCACGTATGCTCCTTAAAAATGACAGCTGCCTTCTAACTTTTGAGTTTTTGTCTAGTCTTGGAGCTGGAAAAGTATCTGTACATGTACTTGTACCGGGTACGGTACTTGGTATCTGCACATCCCTACACACCAGTGATAATCAGCACAGCAATAGATGTTTTCCCCCCTCATCAGAACCCCCCCAATAAACAAAACAATGTATTATTTATATACTAGGTTTATTACATCCACTGACAGCAGGAAGACATTTACTTTGCAAAACAAAGAAAGAAAAAAAAGCACAATAAAAACATTATACACAAAAGGATAAAATAAAATAAAGAATATTTACAAGAGGACGAGAAAACATTTAAAATAGAGGAAGGAATTGTGTCCATATGACACGGACAGTTGAGGACTACAGCAGTTTATCAAACACTCTAGAGATAAAGACTTTGTACACTAGAGAAACATTACAAGTTTCAGTGCAACAGATTTAGAAAGATACGGCATTGGCAGTTATTGGGGAAGTGATCGGCAATGTTAAGGTCAGGCATATACTTTATCCCCAAATACCAAACGTAGAACAAAAAAAAAATGCTCCCATGGAAGTTTCAGTGTGATAGTTAGTGTGAACTTATTCATTCTTTTTCTCCTTCTGCTTTAGAAGTTTGTTTATTTCCCGCTTTCCCATGCCTACAAATTTTGTAATAACTCCATGTCTGTTGAGTCCAGGAAGCAGAAGTGCAAAACTCACTGAAAAGAAAGCAGAAGTTTTTATCAATGCATTAAATCAGTATAATAAATAGTCACAACTATATAAAATGTCAAGTAATACCTTCTAAGCTACAAGCCCTCCAAACTGCAAAGAACTCATCACTGCAAGTCAATTTCTTACTTGCTGCCATTCCATTTTATGCCTTTAGGATAGACCTAGCCATTGAGGTATATCCACGTGCCAGTCATTGCCAACAGATACATCATATTCCCTACAATATTTAGGGCCCAATCACAATATGCATTGCAAAACCATAGAACTTCCAGTGCACAGAGGCATTTTGCATTAAGGGAATGATGAAACTCCTTTCAGGTTTTTTTTTGCCATCTGTGTCCCGTTAGGGAAATTTCCCTATACTTTCTGACTTATAAACAGGAGCTTAGAAGAAATCTCTCCAAAGTGAGCAAATGCTCTCCTGAAACTGTTGTCACCCCAACAGGTATCCCCGCTGGAAGATTTTTCTTTTATTTCTGTTCTTGTGACAACTTTTCTTCTCACTTTCAATCTCAACAACAGTAGATCCCAGGGACAAATAATCAGCAGGGACATGTGCAGCAATAAAAACCACACAAGGCTTCTAACTCCTCACTATTCTATGCAAACCTAAAAAAAAAAAAGGGGGGAAATAAAACCTACCGTCACTCCTATTTCAACACAGTGCACTATACAGCAGGTGCTTTTTATGAACTGTGCATGGTATGTTGGGATACCATTTGCGGTTATAGGGAAGATCTCGCAGTGCTAGTTGTTCCAAAGCAGTACCCTGACAAATATACCTTTTGTCTGAAATTCCTCCTGCAAAATAGCAGTGCCCCTGCTGGTCTGAGTGTGCATAGGCCTCATAGCTGCAAAAGAGCAGTGCCCCTGCTGGTCTGAGTGCGCATAGGCCTCATAGCTGCAAAAGAGCAGTGCCCCTGCTGGTCTGAGTGTGCATAGGCCTCATAGCTGCAAAAGAGCAGTGCCCCTGCTGGTATGAGTGCGCATAGGCCTCATAGCTGCAAAAGAGCAGTGCCCCTGCTGGTATGAGTGCGCATAGGCCTCATAGCTGCAAAAGAGCAGTGCCCCTGCTGGTATGAGTGCGCATAGGCCTCATAACTGTAGTGTGAACCTTTGGCTCTAATGCCCATGAATACTTGTCTCAGGAGATTTGGTGATGTCACTATTGTGCTGCTTACTGGTCTCCTTATTGGACTCACACTCAACCTCCATGCAGAGACACCATGCAGAACAAGGCATGACAACTCTGCATTGGGGAAAACATTCCCTCTACCTGCCTTTTTAGGGCACAAATTCAGTTACTCTTTAATCAACAATGAATGCTCACCAACAGTGGGACATTGGCATATAATATACTACCTCTGCGGACTAGTATATAAGTGGATATGACTAGGTATAAGCCACTCATATAAAAGACAGGGCACTAATCAATACAATGCACTGTATGCGCAGGAGACATTTATATCTAAAAGCAAAACAGGAGGTTTGGATATTGGACATAGTATTTTAGTAAGAGGCCCCAAACAAATGTAAAAAAATTGATGAATGTTGCTGAGAATTAAACTGAACATCTAAACCGGAATAGAGGAAATACTTACCTATAAGATATGTCAGGAGAAGGTTATGAACCTGCTGTCCAATCCAAGCTACAACAGCAAGAGTTGTGATCATAGACATAAAATACTAGAAAAGAAAACCAAAAAACAACATTACTGGTGTCATATGGCCATCATACATTTAAAATCATGCTCTAATTAATACAATTCACAAAATGTAATGTATGTAGCACAAGGGCCTGAGTTAGTCTTGTCAGCCATTCTGTAATCACTGAACAGCAGCACTGCAGCAGCACGGAGAGCCAATCAGAGCTCTAATGCTCTGCACAATGCCATCAGGGAACATACGTGCAGAACAGAAGACAAAAGGGATACGTTCATCGGTATGTGGATGTTCTATAATTGTCCAATCCCAGCCAGAAGGTGAAAAATACTGGTGAGCAAGAGGTACTTTGAAAGGATTATACACACCAGTTAGAAGCTCGTGCTTTTCTGTACTATAAA